GTACTCGTTAGGCCATTGGCCTCGCATCCCTACAAAGCCGGGACGGAGCTCGCCGGGTTCTCACCGGACCAGGCTCTCACATCACCAAGCGCGAAGCGCCGTGAGGTATTCGGCGAGTCGCATGAAGGGTGCGCTGCATCCCGCTTAGGGTGTTCGGCATCTTACGCTTATTTTCTTGCAACGGATGACAGCTGCGTATGACTTAATTTCTTTTCTGGCACTTTCACTTCCAGAGACAGTTGTAAGCACTGTGTAACTGCCTCGAGAGTACTTGACCAATGACAGCAACTTTTCCGAGAAGAAATAAGCAGACGGTGTATGTTTCGAAGCAGAATGCTTTTTGTCCGTACCTTTGTTGGGTGGGGTGTTCCAAGACTGTTCTCTGACTGGAAGCAAGCGCAGTTGCGGAAAGTTTTGTTTCCGGGCCTTGCCCACCTTGGTTTGTCTTGGTCTATGGCATCTCTCGCCATTCAAAAATGACGCGTGGTGTTAGAAACTGATGTTTCCCTTCATTTTGTAAGGTAGGGGTCCGGGTAAACGAAATAGTTGCCACCCCGGCAACCAACGGTACGCAATACATGTCTGTTTCTTTTCTATCTATCAAGACATCGTTCATCAAGTTACTTGGAGGGGAGGTTGTCTTGGCCAGTGGGGGACGAGACTTCCCGAAAACTGCCTCGTGTTGTGTGTCATCGTTTCTGGTTGTTAACGTTGTTACTGATATTATTGTCTTGACATTGAAATTTTTTCTGGTGCCAGTCTATTCACCTTCGGCCTAGTCCACGTGTTTGGCGTACCAGCTGGGGTGTCACAGCAGTAGTCTTTAATTCACTCGGAGTAGTTGTGAGTAGTTGTTTGTTGGTGTGTTGCTCCACACCTTTCTTGCCTCATGGGGTGCGTGCAACGTGACCTGGCTATGGGAGCAAGAAGGCCGCACGCACCATCAAAGCATTGAGGTTTAAACAGCGGTATTCTGTTTGGTTTGCCAATGTGTCAAATGTGTGTATGCTTGACGGACGTGGAATATGAGCGATCTTGCGTTTAGTTTGTATTGGGGGGGGGTTTGGCCGTGATCACGATGTCTTCTCATAATTCTCATTATGCAGACACTGTAGCATGTGTTGCTTTGTACTAGTGCCCTCAGGTATGGATGCATGTGTGTGCTTCCCCATCTACAATGAGCATCAGGAGGTAAGGGGATTAGGAGATTGAAGTTCTACGACGAAGGGATGACTCTTGATTGGATGAAGCCATATCTAGTTTGTGGGGACGGGGGGCAGGGGCGACAGGAACCCTCACAGAGGCGACTTTTGTGGAGGGTATTTGTTTGTTGTGCAAAAATCGCACACGCGGGATCTATCTCGGATTGCGTTGGGTGAGTAGTGAGTATAATGTCCGTCGTTGTCGCCTCGCCTCCGTTCTGGCAGCCAAGCAGCACAGGCACAAACCTATGCTGCTCTCTTTTCTCAAGTGAGAAGGTGGACGACACGATTTCCGCCGACACACACAACTGACTTCACGCGCTACTACTATCGAACGTCGAAAGAGATTGTAGTACTGTAGCTGTAAAGCGCGGCTGGTTGTCGATAGCGGCTTTGCTGAGGGTGCGAAGGTCAGTGCTTCGCCATGCATGATGACTTGATGATGATGGCAAGAAGAAGCAGCGGCCCCAGTGCTGAAGCTGCTTGACGTCTGTAACGACACAATGCCATGTAAACGGCCCGCTGCTGCAGCAGCGAGGCCCTGTGGCGGACGCATAGGTGCGAGAAATGGCACTCTTCTCTCAAAAATTCAAAAACAATACACAGGCCAGAGGAGCAAGCTACGCCAGCAATCAAGTCTACGTAGTACGGCACTCGGAGAACGTTCGAGAAACGCTCGTCAGCTGTGGGCAACTAGTCATGAGGACAACGTAGCCGCGGGGGACAGCAGTTGTGACCCTACGCTCAACTTAAAAGTACGTCGCAGAAACCACGATACTCCCCCCCCTCCTCCCCCCCCGCGTGCGCGGCGTAATGTGTCCCGCCACCATCCAAAACTTGCACCGCTTCGTCCAAGGAAGCACGGCATGACCTTCTGCCTGATTCGCGAATATTCCCCGTGTTGATCCTATCCCATCCCACCCAACTATTTACCACGGGTCCGACCCGTCCCACCTCTACAGCACCGGGAAACACGTACCGTGTGCATACGAAAAACGACAACAATCAGACCACAACCGTTGCGAGTAGGGAAATGCTAGCAACACCGAACCGCGTCTAGATTTGGGGCAAGCAAAAAAAACGTGGACCGGCACCTCCGTCGCGAAACAGATCACGGGGCTCCGCGGAACGGATCAAGGGAGCTCCGCTGAACGAATCAGGAGCTCTCCACCTTGGCAACGTGCAGCATGAGGTCTACGAGCCTGTTGCTGTAGCCCCACTCGTTGTCATACCAGGAGACGATCTTAACGAAGGTGGGGTTGAGCATGATGCCTGCCTTGGAGTCGAAAACCGAGGAGCGGGGGTCGTGAACGAAGTCCTGGCTAACCACGTCCTGCAATGGGACGAGACGGGCACGCGATGGGTGGGTGGGGGGGGGGGGCATGNGGGGGGGGGGGGGGGGGGGGGGGGGGGCATGAGGATTGATTTGTTGTGGTGGTTTGCATCCCGGGGAACCGCATCGTTCACGTGCTCGTGCCAATCCCACCACATCGGTCGGTATCAGTTGACGGAACCAATAAAATCTCCCCACCCACCCACATCCACCATCCGGTACCACAAAAAGACTGGGCACACGTCCAACTAAACCACAGCTATTAATATGTAGTCAATTCTCTGGCACACGCAAGAGCCAGGTATGCAACACCCTCTCGCATTTGACAGTATTGAGGCACCCGGCGCCTCGCGTAACGATGGAATCAATCTTGGTGAAATCCACCGGTCATACGTAGGTAACCCAAGATTGCGATGAAATGAAGTGCTCACGTTGTCCTCGTATCCGAGAACGCCCTTCATGCTCCCGTCGGAAGCTTCCTTCATCTTGGCGCAGATCTCTTCGTAAGTCGTTTCCGTGGCAAGCTTGACGGTCAGGTCCACCACCGACACGTTTGGCACCGGGACCCTGAACGCCATGCCGGTGAGCTTGCCGGCCATCTTTTGTTGACAGTGAGGTTAATTGTTTGCCGGGTTTGATTGATGCGTCATAGCCCAACAGACGGAGAAGCAGCGGCGGCAACCGACGGCAAACGCAGCAGCGGCGGCGGTGGCAGCAGCAGCAGCAGCGACCAAACGGAATCCAACATGAGGAAAAACGAGAGGAAACGGCGGGAAGAGTGGCACAGCAAGAAAGTCCTAACCGACCGACGACTACGACTACGCTATTCCCATCCGTAGTGCAGCACCCATCGTGCGCCATGGTGGGGCTTCTGTGGGATCCAGCATCCACACAACCTCCTGACCTTACACAGCAGCTTTCTCACAACGCTAAACCTATTTAACACTTCGAATGAGGCCCACCCTATCCAAGCCAACGCTTCAAAGGGAGGCTTGGACAAATCCGCAAGGCTGCCGTTTGATTGTATTTCGTCTTTGCCGAATATGCGGGGTCCCGGGGTCAGTTTTGGTCTTCCTGACCCAGGGAGGTGTGCTGACCCAAATGCCCCGCCGCGCCGACACACACAAAAAAAAGGCCTGTCGCCAAGAGTTTTGGTATAGACCTATATGCATATACAGGACAAGTGTGCAACCTTCAAACTTGTAGCCTAACTTGAAACAACGGCGTTCGACCGATACCGTATGCTAGGAAGTGCTATGTTCTTGCCTGAACCAGCTTGAAGCAAGTAGCTAATTCGCTAACTCACCGCGGGGATGACCTTGCCGACCGCCTTAGCGGCACCGGTGGAGGACGGGATGACGTTGGCAGACGCGCATCGACCCGCGCGCCTATTTTTTCAAAGACAAGGATAAGGATGGGCACGGAAGGCGCGAAGGCCGTTAGACTACCGGAGTCATGCTGGCATGCTGTGCTTCTGGTGACAAGAACAACAAAGGGATGCTCTTTCAAGACCTTGTGCTTCGTCTCCCTCGGGCGACCTAATGGTTCATCGTCGTTTCGCGCACCTCCGATTAACACGCATCCCTACGTTCGGCCAGAGTGATTTCAACGATATCCTGACCCTGACTCTTCCAAGTCATTGGCTTGCACTCACCAGTCCTTGCCGCCCTTCGAGGGACCGTCGACGGTGAGCTGGTTGATAGTCATCGCGTGCACCGTCGTCATAAGCCCTTCCACGATGCCGAAGTTGTCGTTCAAAACCTTGGGAAAGAATGGGGGGTTGTCCCGATCATCAGCATCGCTTGATGTGCGAGAATAATAAATCCACCTCCAAAGGGACAAGTCCGCAGACAAAAAAAGAAGCAATCGCCGTTTTCGATTCAACACCACTGCCGTGCATCTCACACGCAATAGCAAAGTCCACTCGACCGAGTCACCACACCGCTCCGACATAACAGCCAGTGGTAGCATCAGCTCTTTGGAAGGCAAGCAAATACCGCTAGGCTAACCTCAGCTTTAACGTTGGGGTCAGGGCAAGAACGACCGGTATTCATCTCACCTTCGTGACAGGCGCGAGGCAGTTCGTGGTGCACGACGCGTTAGACATGACGTCCGCGCCCCCCTTCTCGTAATCTTCGTGGTTCACCCCCATCACGTACATCGGAGAGTCGTCCTTGGGCGGGGCAGAGATGAACACCTTCTTCGCGCCGCCTGCGGAGATAATTTGAGATAGGGTTGTACGTTTAGAACGAATAGGGTTGCAATAATCGGTACGAGTACGCAGTGCAATGGCGTCGGGCCCGGAAAAAGCACATGCTCCCTGGTTCGCGATTTTGGGTGTGGGCCGGACCGATTGAACAAAGGGTTGAACGTAATCCGTAACTTCGACCTCGCGCGCACAGGGCGGCTGAAACTTCACTATCCTGGTACATTGTTGCGCAACAAAACATTGGTAGCAGACAAAACAGCGCGGCCCATCCACGCGTCGATCGGTAGGATACACGATACACAGCAGGCCACAGAGAAGGTGCGTCCTTATGGGTTGGGGTAAGGGTGTTCGGCGCTACAGCAGTACATACCCCGCGTAAACCTCGGCAGGGTTCAGCTGCTGCGATGCCACACCCCTCACTCACTCACCGTCGATGTGAGCCTTGGCCTTCTCCGTCGTGGTGAACACCCCGGTGGACTCGCACACGTACTCCGCCCCCTTGCTGGCCCACGGGATGTCGGCAGGGTCCTTCGACGTGAAAACGGTGATTGTAACGCCGTCCACCACCAGGTTGCCATCGCTCACCTGTACAATAGAGCGCCAACATCACTTTTTAGGCACCTGTGCATACCGAACCTTCTTCTTGACCCTAGCAGCACACGCAATACATGTGCACATGCCCCAGATACCGGATCATTTCTCTGGCGCAATTATTAGTTGACTGCCTCTCTCGGCAACACGATATGTTTTGATATTTTGTGCACGACTCCGTGCATGATCCAGCGCCAGCAGAGTGGGCACGTTAGGCGGGCGTTCAAGGAGACTTTTGCAACATAGTGTGAGGCAATTTCGCCACATGGTCGGGGCGGTCGTGTAGTTCGCCGCATCGATGTTCAGCCGAAAAAACAAAACACCACTGTCTCGTTGCGCCTGTTACCCACAGGGGAAGTATCGCTGTGTGCTGCTTGGGAAATCTTAGAAATGGTAGGTACCTGCTCATCTCTCCTCGAGGGCAGGTAAACCCAGGCAAGGTTGTATCGTCAGAGCCAGCTGCAAGCTGCAGGCTGTCGCAGTCTTATCACGTGCCATCGACTCGTGCAAAACGAGACCCAATGCTAAACATTGATTGGGAACCTACGCACTCCCATCGATATTTGAAGCACCGAATTGCTCACAGCAGTACTGCAAGGTGAATTTCAACCTTGACGAATCAAACACTTGTAAGGTAAAAAAATTGTTCCAACAGACCCATGACAAGGAAAGCAAGTTCAGCAACAAATAATCTATGGTTCGAACGAGCCGGTCTGGACGTCTGAACGTGCGTTGTTATTGTTATTGTTCCGACCACAGAAAGAGGCTGTACGCCTCGAGTAGACTCACTGAGCAATCAGCAGTGGTTCCTGTATCAGGCTGGATGCGTAATGCCAAGAGATCTGGCCGGCCATGTACACTGGGCGCCCGGCGCTATTCAGAGTACGAGATACCTTCAACATCCGAGTATGAGACACCTTGAAGGCTCCATCTGTGTCACGAGCTTTGATTGGTCTTTACCACAATTGTGCGGCCCTAATGCAAATGACACCGCTTTCCGTGATAGGGCAGTCGAAGCACTTCGAGAGGAGACGAGACGGGAGAATTAATCCTCACAGGGGTGCTTGTGCCCAACAAGGCTTTGGTGACGGCCCAACAAGGCTTTGGTGACGCTTCAATTCGTTGCACCCGTCCCATCCCATCCCATCCCATCCCATCCCATCCCATCCCATCCCAATTGCTATCGTGGGAGGTGAGAACACCACCCCCCAGATTTGAAAAACTCCTCCAACCTTCCGATGGACAACTGACATGTGCAAGTTGCGGTTGTCGTTGACTCTCACGATGGGATAGTCTAAAACACCGACGGCTTGTTACTTCAAAAATCCGGTGGATACAAGTAGCTGGGTTTGCTGTTTTAGGTTCACCGCTGAAGGGGTTATCATCACAACTCACCTCGACGGTGCCCGGGAACTTGCCGTGTACGGAGTCGTGCATCAGAAGGTACCTGGGGTAGCACAGAGGACACAACGGCGGACAAACAGGGTACATACGCGGGCGCCGAGGTATCAGATGGTTTGGAACGTCGCAACATCAACCTTGGGATCGAGAATCAAGTACACGTGTTGTATAGGAGTCAGAAAAAAAGCCAGCGAGAGGGGGAAACAATAGCCCCGGCGAAAGCTGCGCCTAGATCGCCCGAGCACGAGCCGCGAGGCAGGGTCTTGGCAGTGAATCCTCGGGCGCCCGCTGTGTGAGCACCGCTCTCGGAAGCAAGGACGCCCTGCTGGGAGGGCGACGAAAGACCGACAGCACTCGCAACGCCCAGCTGGCGCCTCCGGAAAGCGGTTTTGGTTTCATGCCGCGCGGCACTGGTCGGAGGCCAATGCAAACGAGAACGACTAAGATACCAGCATCACGCTCGAAACAGTTGAGGCATGCAGTGCCGCAGATACATTCTTTTGTGCGCCCCGGGGTTCGGAGCTCATCAGCTAGGGAGGCAAGACCGTCGCTGGCGCGAAGTGCGGGGCAGGACGAAGGGATCACGAAAAAAAAAAAGCGAAGCAGCAGCACCTGCTGCTGAGACGGCTATTTACTTGGTGCTGTTGTCCTTACCGCATGTAGTCGATGTCCATGAAGGGGTCGTTCACCGCCACCACGTTTACGCCCTCCTTGGCGTAGCATGCCCTGAACACCATCCTCCCGATCCTGCCGAAGCCATTGATCCCCACTCCGATCATCTTCTTCGACGATTACACAGGTCCGAGGTCAAGCTGTGTGAAGGATAGATGCAGAACCGGCAGGGTGTGATGACCTGACGCTGGTTTGCTTCGCGCGGTTGGAGACGCAGGCTGTGGGTGTAAGCTGAAGAGGTGGGTGCGTTGAACTGGATGTGTGCTTGGATTGGATGTGCTGCTATGCGTGTGCAGCAAACGTGTCTGAGCGAAAAGTGACTCTGGGGGCGATGTGTGTGTTGATGTCGTTGATGGGCTTTATGGCTGAATTTGCGGCGGAATTACATTCAACGCTGTTCAGTGTTGAATCTGGCTGGCTCTCTTCTTTCCTTCTTTTTCCAGATCTTCTACCCCCCCCCTCCCGATCAATAATCATTATTGTAATCGAAATCATGGGGTGTGTTCTTGTCTCTACTCCTAACTGTGGCACCCCTCTCGATCGGGTGCGCCCTGCTGTGGTATATGACAGCAGTAACAATTAAATTATTAGTCATACATCATTGGTGCGCTGCGCGCACCAGAAACCACCACGCCGTGCTCACCGCCGTAGGACAAACGAAAGGAACGACAACAGAGGTGTGCGCGTGTATCTGGGAGTTGGGAGAGCAAGTTCGATCTTATGGTGTGCCGCGAGACTGTCGTTTGAGTGTGGGGATACCTTTTAATTTCACCTCTCGATCCGGGAAACCTGCTCCATGTTTCGAAACGAATTCGCTCGTGTAGCGAAAATGCTGCTGTGTACAGCTATGATCTCCTCGGATCATGAGAGGTACCATTATTGTTTTCCATGCCTGGCCTCTATCTCATCTTCGCATCGTCGAGTCGGTAGCTCACACCTGATTACTTTGTGCGCGGTTTCTCCTGCGGTGTGCGCATGATACGCACTGCAGCTCGGCTTTGGTTTAGTCCATGCCAGCGGCGGTTTGAATTTGTGAATTTGTGCCTCCACGGCAATCTGGTTGTCAATCGTGGTGAAGCTTCACACAACAACCACCGGAATGTGCAAGACACCACAAGGTAGCGTTATGCATACGTTAAGTAGATACTGCTGATGCGCCAATATCGTGACATTTGTTATTCTACCCGCTTGCTGTGTTCTGTAGTCTTGAGCGGTCATCTGCTCGCACCGAGGGGATCGTGAGATGAGACTGTGGAACCCTTGCGCGGAGGGTGCTTGTAAAGTTGAAAGCAAGGCTACTTACAGTACGCGAGGGAAGACAGGAGTTACGGTCCACGGTGGGACGGGACGGGATGGGATGTGATGCCAGGGAAAGTATTTTGCAGGGCGACGGCGGTAGCAGACGTTTACACACCAGGCGGTTACCTACCCATCAACATCATCCCGCCCTCATGCTGTTCCCCCGTACTCGTGAGAGCGTGGATGACGGGCTGTACCTTGCCCGCGCTCTTCTCCTACTTGTTTCCTCGCCGCTGGTGTTCCTGTCGTGAGTTGCGTGCCTGTGCTGTCCTTTTGGTGCACCCCCCCCACACCAAATTCCTTCCTCCGAAGAAAAACACAAGTTCCGCCGCCAGAAGCGCAAATTCGCAACCCATTGGGGCTCCAATGCAGCAAAGCGATAACCTTTCTGTGCCAATGGACGATCACAGATACATGTTCATGCATTCAAGCCCACCCAGGACGATTCACTGACTGCTGTGATCGTCTGTACCGCCGCCATTTTTGTCTTCCTTGTGGTCGTCCAGCATCAGCCTCCAAGACCGTAACAAAGCATGGCTTATTCTGGAGGGTTCAAGGAGGAAGATGACGACTTGGATATAGACGGGGAGGAAGAGGGGGGAGAGATCAAGGCTGTGAACGACCACTGCATCCTCTTGATCGACGCTAGACCGAACATGTTTGAGTCCTTGAATGGCGAGGGAGATGTGAGAATGCTGGCTTCTTAGTTGAGCCCTTGGTCGGTGACGAGGGTACAGCTGTATCTCTAATTGTCTTGTCCACACACGCCGTTGAAACAATCTCTTGAAGGGTTAGGACTCACCCCGTTGAGTTCCAATCCTGGGTAGGCAGTCGGGTTAGCCATTCTTAGCATCTTGCGGTCTTTCCTCAACGACAGTTCGACTACACTCTTGCACGTTCCTCAAACAGACAACGGGTTCAGGCCTTGCGCAACCCACAACACATGACGCTGGGTGGTGTCCAGCGTTCGTTTTTTTTTGTGGAAGTCGTTGACCTGGCAGGGTAGAAGGGCAAGGGCTGCAGCAGCGGCAGTGACGTCTTCCCTGTAGAGTTATGACCAACTCCATGTTTCGAAGCAAATATAATGTGATGGTATCGATTGGCTCGGATGAGGTATTGTTAGGTTCTGCGACAAGGTGGAGAAATAGGGCGGGCTGCCTCAACCATCTTGGCTTCTCAGTTTCAACAACGACTCCCCTCGTATTTTGCCAACCAGATGGTACAACAGCTTGGAAACATTCCGTTATCATATCGCAGGAAAAATATGTTGGTTTTCCGCACCAGACCGTTCACGATTTGCGCTTCAAGAGGGTGGGCGTGTTGAAGACGACGCTCGTCACCTGTAGGCCTATAGGTCACCTGTAGGTCTGTAGGGTGGTGTTGGTGTCTCGGAAACGATATGTGTATTCAGCAAGGCTATTTGATTTCCTTTGACGACAGAAGCTTTTATTCTTTCGCTAGCTTACGTGTTGCTGCTGGACTGCTGTCGCCAATGCTAATGTTTAGCTGCTGCTGCTGCTTCGGTTGTGCGCTGTTGCTACCGTACCTTTTACTGGCAGACACCATTCCATGCGTCTATGAGAACCGCCGTCCAGCTGATGAAGAGCAAGGTAGTGCAAAGCGATAAGCACCGTGTGGGAGTCACTTTCTTCGGGACCAAGAAGACATCCGACATCGAAGTGGGTTTTTATGTTCGTACGTTCGCATGATCCGCATCTGCGAAACGCCGCACGGAAAACCGCAAAAGTTCGACACGCCTTTATTCTCACGCGTCCCTCTCGCACACCCATGGCTGGCTGACTGCAGCAGTGGAGAGACAATCAGGCCGGTCATGGTAGAGATTGGAAGTGCCGTCTCACCTGATTCTCTGTTGACAAGTTTCCACAGGACGTAGTATTTCGTATCGTTTGGAATCGTGTTGGCCGTAGTTTTGACCCTCTTTGTGGCTGTCTTGCCTCCCTGCAGAGCTAAAATGTCCGAGTTCTGACACGCTAATTTCATCTACCTCAGCCCGAAGTCTTTCAGTTGGCGTATATCTCAGTGGACTGAATGTGCTCTTTCTGTGGTACATAAGGTCTTTGCATGTTGCTCATCTGTAGTCCACACCTATTGCAGTCTCTCCCCCAGCGTCTGGCATGAGTTGGAAACGGCGAGAATACTACTGTGGGTATCAACGAGCAATCATCCCTAACCCTAAATCTACGATGACAACACACCCTTTGGTGTGGTTCTGGATACATATCGTGCGCTACTGGCCGATATGCTGAGCTTGTCGCGAGATGATCGTGCCCACATAGTGTTGCGTCCGGCTAGAATTCTGTACCTGGCACACTCATTCATCAGGTTGGGGTATTAAGTTCGTTGGCCATGCTGCAACCTCGCAGTAGTCGCTCTGTTCCGCTCATCCAGTAGTCATGCACCCTCACCTCGCGTCCCGTCCATCTTCGCTGTTGCTGCTGCCGTTGCTGGTGATGCTGGCGATGCTTGTGTTCAGGAGAGCAACGAAAACGTTTTTGTCGTCCTCGACCTAGCGCCGCCGAGCGCAAAGCGGATCCGCGACCTAGATGTGCGTGGGTCGGTTGTTGCAGTCTTCAGCCTTCTCAATCTGTTGAGGGCCCCTTTGTGTCGTCAGTGAATTCCGCATGCCTATGTAGCATCGTTCAAGTGAGACGGCAAAAGCCACTCTCTGCACAGCACGACGCGAATGGGGCTGTACCGAGTTGAAGTGAAAGTTCAGGAAGTCATGTTTCGTTTACAAAGAGTTGTACTTGTCTGGTAATTAAAGATATGAACCCGGTTGAAACCCCGCCACCATTTCTCCTTGCCAAACTTCCCTGCGAGTGACGTTTGCCAGTCATCATGACATTACCTCTTCTTCATCGCTCCTACGGTAGCTCCAACTGCCTGTCCGTACGCGAGCTATGTACCAAGATCGGTAATTGTTGTTTGTTGAACACTTCCTGTTGATTGTCATTTCGTGTCTGTGACGTCACGCAGGCTCTGGCGAAGGGGGAGGTGAGCTTCGACAACAAGTACGGGTCCATCGGGGCAGACGACCCGTGCCCCTTGAAAAGCGGACTGTGGTCATGCCAGACAGAGTTCAACAACATGTGAGTGTGAGGCGTTTCGACCGCGTGACGGTTTCCCTGCTGCCAGCCTGTTTCGAAGTACTCTGGCAGCTATTTGTCGAAAGTTTGGACTTGAGCGTGATGTGGCACAGCAGCACCGCGTGGTATGGAATTGCAGTGCGTTGTTTGGTTGCTGGTGTGAAGTACGGTAGTGCAACGTTTCATCGTTTCCACAGTTGCTGTTGCTGCACACCCAAGGATTGTGAGATCCAGTTGAGCCTTTATCCTTTTTCGGTGTGTGGCTTGCTTTGACGCGTGCTCCGATCGCCCGGTGTCTTGTTTGGCATGGCAGCAAGCAGCCGCTAGACCACAAGCGCGTCTTCCTCTTCACAAACGACGACGACCCGTTGAGGGGAGACCCAGAAGAGACGAAGAAAGTTCACATGATCGCGCAGGTGAATAGCCAGCCTACAGCCAGTCAGTAAGTGGTTTTCGAGACAGGTTGGAGAGGATGCATGGGGGTATCGATTGGGGCGGATGTCTCGTGTTCTGAAGTATCAACATAGAGCGTGTAAGAGTGTATCTCTTTTGTGTTCTCAGAGTATTCGTATCAGGTCGTGATGCCACAGAGAAGTGGACCCTTTCTCACGATGAGTTGGCAACGCTAACCCGACGAACGATCGTGGGGATGTAGTGTTAGCTACGTCCTGTTGCGCCAGGAATGTTTTCACCCTCGACACTTAACTCCACACGAAAGGCGTTGCGAATAGAGGATAAGAGAAGATCAGAGGAGAGAACGGTAGAGGAAATGTGAAGAAAGGAGAGAGACAGACAGACAGACAGACAGACAGACAGACAGTCAGACAGACAGACACAGACACAGACAGACAGCGACATGGTATTCTATCCTGGCCACTCCCTGTGTGGTACAGCGTTGACGCTGGCTCCATCGTCAGCGTCGTTCTCATCATCGATCGCTTGGTCCTTATCTGCGTTATTGGGCCTGCCTTTAACAGGATGCAGTGAACGCGTCTATCGAGATAAAGCTGTTCCACATCAAGAGAAAAGGGGCGCCGTTCGACCCAGATACCTTCTACCGTGCGATCATCACGGGCGATGGGGATGACTACAATGAGCAGGTGTGGCAGGATTATTGTTGCTGCTGTCTCCAGTGTGGCAGTTACGATTTAACCTTTCCATGATCAATACTGTCTAGTGGCTGTTACTGGTCCAACTGACGCGGAGGCCTTCCGTGGTCACAAGCTAGCTACCCCAAGGCCTTTCGTTTTCTGCGCTCTCGGGATGAACACTCATGGTTGTTTTCTGTTTTTCATGTTGTTGTCGTTGCAGTCTCTTGGCGACGGGGCCGAATCGACGAACGAATTGTTGGACAAGGTTCGCCGCAAGGAGTTCAAGAAGAGGAGGGTAAGTCAGTCAAATAATCCAGATATGAGATGGCTGCACTACAGTACAGGATCCCATTCAGGCATTGAAAACAAAACGCGTGGAAATAGGGGCAGTATTTGCGTGATGCAAGAGCACCGTGAAAGCGATGTACTTACTGCAGGGCTCATCCATTACCACGTACCTTTCGCCAATCGCATCATGTGTGGTGTTGACCACATCTATCTGTTGTTGCACGCGTCTTCGTGTGGCTCATCAGCTGGCCCGACTGCCTTTCTACCTTCGGGAGGGGCCAGAGGGGACCGGGCTGTCCTTCGACGTGCAGGTACAATAAACAATACGCTATACCATGCATGGTTGCCATGATCTGTGTTCGGCCTGAAGGAGCTCTAGAACGTCGAGTAAGAGACCGGAGTTGAGAGAATTTTATGTTTGCTGAACTGTCAAGAGAGTCGTATGGGTTCCTATGCCGCCTACACTGCTTTAAGCACCTCGCTTGTGTCACCTGGAGTTTTCGCCTGCTACAGAGAAAGCTACACCGGGCCTTGTTCCCGTTCGGCACGTGTCTCGATTTTTTCATGGTATATATCGCGCCTGTTGTGCCCAACTGGACGTCGTAGCAGAGTCAGTGCCAGGAAAACCTCGCAACACCAGAGTATTCCCATTTCTCTCTGCCTACCTCCCCGTCGTGCTCCCGCCTACACAAGCGCCCCCCCGTCTCTTTGTTGATGTCTTTTGGCTGTGTGTCCCCAATCGGCGGCGTGTCGCTGTACTGTGTGCATCAACCAGGTGTTCAACATGGTCCACCCGGCGAAGAGGCCTACTCCCATTTACCTCGATGCCAGGACGAACAAGCCTGTCCAGATCATCAGCAAGGTCAGGTCAACGCCCTCCTACGTTCTTAAATTTAGCGCTCGCCTTCGACCGTGTACTCGATGTTGTGTTGACTTTTTAAACCTTGAGCCTAAGCAAAGCTTGTCGTTGGTTGAGGCACCAGCACGGAACAGCAGTACTGTAAGAGGCGGAGGAGAGATGGCACCCCGCTCCTAGACCAATGTTCAACGATCGATTGCTCCACAAGCAAGATTGTCTGTACCGTACCGTATACCGTACCGTGGTATTCCGTAAGAGGCGGAGAGATGGTATCCCTTCCTAGACCGACTTTCACAGGTCGATTGCTTCACCAACAAGTGGGTGGGGAAAGATCCCGATACGTCTACGGAAAGTCCTCGACGACATGTTTCCAATACTGCTAGTATTGGACTATTGGTGTTAGCTCAAGCATGTTTGTGGAGAAGTCGAGCGTTGAACATGGGTCTAGGAGGGGATGGTGCCATCTCTCCCTCCACCTCCAGCGGTAGTCGTGGCCCCCGTCGTTTGAACGCGAAGCGACGAGACTGGCGACCACGCTCAAAAGATCTTTCGAGGTGGGCATCCTGTTTCTTGTTTTAGCGTTCGGTGTGATCGGTGTTTTAGCTCTTTGTCAAGTGCCTACGGCGGTGAAGAGGTACTGTGAACCTGGATAGGGTAGGCAAGGTACTAGAGCGGTCAAAGGCGCGAACAGCAGTCGGGATTGTGCTTTCAAGGGGTTCGTCAATTTCACGTGTTTACGGATAACACCAACGTGCACCCCTTTTCTGTTCTACAGTAGTATAGATTTTGAGCCGCTCCTCTTGGCCATCTCGTTCAGGGGCCTCCTCGCACTTAAGCACTCTTGCTGGTTTTGTTTCTTTCCATGGATATGTGGACCATCGGCGCTGATCTGTAGCATGATCCGTTCTGATTGCTGGCTGCTTCTCGCCGCTCTTGTCGGCAGAGAGCGAATGTTGTTGGCATTCGTTTCTTGGTAGACGTTTCGCTCATGTCACACCAAGCCAAATGGCATGGCGTCACATTGAGTCACCTTGTCCTTGAAGGCGCTCCTGGTCTGTTGCAGACAAAGCCGCCCCACCTCATCAAAATCTGGTGTTGATCGTTGATGGCCCTGTACTGGTGCGGCTGCTACCTTGCGAAGTAGACTGTAGGGACACCCAGGTCTTTGGTCGCATATGCAATGTGGTACGTAGTCACCACGTACTACCACCAGCCCTCTTTTTGTGTAATTGTTTACTTTACCTTGTTCCGTAACCTTGTTCTGTGCTCAACAGGAAAATATAGAGTGTAACGCTGGGCTGCTCACGTCAACTGCTGTTTTTATAATTTGGTCCACCTTCCGTTTGTCCACGAACTAAACAATGCATTAATAGTTGATGGACGACAAGACCGGGGCGCAGTTGGACGCCCACGAGGTTCGCACCTACCTAGAATTCGCGGGCGAGAGGGCTTACATCTCGAAAGACGAGATGGTGAGTGGCGGTGGCATTGGTGGCGACCTATGAGCTATGAGCTATGAGCTATGAAAGGCTGGTTGTGGTTGGTGCGGGGTGGTAAAGTTCTGCTGTGCTGTGCTGTGGTGCGGGGGTCGTGTTGGTGAGGGTAGATGGTGGTGTTTTCGTATGCCTTGGTATTTTTCGCAGTTTCTTGGCGTGTTCTTGTCTTGTGCTGCTGTACTGCGGGTTCGTTGCAGTTCTTGACCAGCAGCATTCCTTCCCGGCGTTTTGAGTTTTTTTTTCGGTGTTGGTTAGTACGGCCAAGGTTTGGTGATGAATTTGACATGCCTAGTGAGGTGATATTGTCTTGCACACTCGACCACCGCGTTGCGTTACCTGAGGTGGCTGTCGTCGGGTGTTGATTGCACCATTTCATATTATCCCACCTGTCAGTTTTGGGCGCACAACGTCTCCACTTGAACCGCATCAGTAATTTCGCGCTTGCATCGACGATCTTGTGTAGACGCCCTTTCTTCGCCTGCCGTGGTATGGTATGGTGACTTGCATGCCCCGTCGTAACCCTGTGACTTCAACCATGCCGGAGCTTCCCGACCTGACCTGACCTGACCCTTCGTTACCGCCAGGGAACTCTGAAAGGCCTGTACCCCAAGGGACTGGCTCTGCTGGGGTTCCGGCCAAACAATACCTTGCGGCCAGACTTCAACATCCGCAGCCCGTACTTCCTCTACCCAGATGAAGAGAGCACCACGGGGTATGTGTGGCCATTTGTTGAGGTTGTCGCTGTTGTTCATGTCGTTGTTGACGCTTGGTAGTGTCGTGCTGTGGCGTGTTGATCCTTGGGGATGGAAGTCCTGCACTCAAATCGACAGCGCGTCTCACAACGCCTCGTTGTCTTTCATGCTGAATTTAACCCTTTGGGTCAGCACCATGCGCTGTTGATGCAGTGATCTCTCCTTTGTGCCTGTTCGAAACATGCCCGCCCCACAAAAGTGGTGACGGCCCACATTACGTGCATACCGTTCTGTTTCCCATCCGTGTCATTGATTGCTTTTGCCCGTTACTGTTACACGACCGCAGTTCTGCGAAGGCGTTCATCGCTCTGCACGCCGCCATGGTCGACAAGAGGGTCTACGCCTTGGCTAGGTTCACAAGAGCTGCTGGAGCAGCACCCAGGTGAAAAAAAATGAAGAAAAAATACAAAAAAAGAGCAGCTACGACAGCGCACCCACACGCGCAGATGTCCAGAGACGATATTGCATACCAGCATGCCATGCTTGGCTCAGATCGCGTGGGTGTGTTTGTCACTGTAGTCCAGTTTCTCGCCTACCTCATGCTCTTGATTACTCGGCCGATTGTTGACGAATCGAATGAGCCATGTGGTGGGAAAACCTTAACATTCGTTGAATGTTACGCGGACGGACCTTTTTACAAATCGTGAACGACGCACTTTGCGGTGCTCGTCGACTCCTACCAAGAGTGGTCCAATGCACTATAACATGAATCATGTCATGAATCATGCGACGAGACATGCTGCGGCTAGGTCTCTTGACTCAAATCCGGCATGTGATGAATATTCGAATGTACAATTGTCCAGCATCATGGGGTAAAGGATGTGTGGTCCAATGCACTATGACATGAATCATGCCATGAGTCATGCGACGAGACATGCTGCGGCTAGGTCTCTTGACTCAAATCCGGCATGTGATGAATATTCGAATGTACAATTGTCCAGCATCATGGGGTAAAGGATGTGTGGTCCAATGCACTATGACATGAATCATGCCATGAGTCATGCGACGAGACATGCTGCGGCTAGGTCTCTTGACTCAAATCCGGCATGTGATGAATATTCGAATGTACAATTGTACAGCATCATGGAGTAAAGGATGAGTGGTCCAATGCACTATGACATGAATCATGTCATGAGTCATGCGACGAGACATGCTGCGGCTAGGTCTCTTGACTCAAATCCGGCATGTGATGAATATTCGAATGTACAATTGTACTGCATCATGTGGCAAAGGATGGTGGCCTTGCTGCCTCAGGAGGAGGTGGTCGAAGGCGGCGAGCAGCTGCAGCCTGGCGGGTTCAACACCGTGGTGCTCCCCTTCGCAGACGAAGTACGGGAAGCGAAAGCACCACAGACCGCCGACGACGATGTAAAGCCGGAAGGTTAGCGGGACAGTTTTCCTAATGTCCAAAGGGTGTGTTTGCGTGTTGTTTGGTTGTGCTCGGTGGTACCTTCGAGGTCGGCATATTTCCCGGTTGTCTAGGTCCATGGTCGGTGGTTGGGTTGCGTCGGGCGTGGAATGACGGTTGGCGCTGGTGCTATTATTGGTTGCCTTGCGGCTTGTGGTGGTGGGCATGTCCTGGCGTCAAACAATCTGTTGGACTAGAATGCCATTTGGGAGGTTTCATGCTGTCATGCAAATGCGGCCACCGCCACTCTTTGTTGTTCGGCTTCCCTCACGTCTGTGTCGGTTTGCTTTCGCTTCATGCTCAAGCGACGATTGTCGCGTGGGCTATCACGTTTTCATTGTCGCTTACTGAATTTTAAGTTTTGCCTACTGAACCCGTGCTACTGCTTGCCAAAGACACCACCTATCCACAAAGTCCGTTCGGTGCACTGCGCTACTTATAGCATACTGTGGTGCAGTGTCCGACGTTGTGGTGTCATGCGCTGTGTAGCATGGTTGAAAGGGCCGCGATGTAGCGATGTCATGAGGTGTATGGTGACACGCTATGCTGATGTGTGGTGACTTTTTGGCCTGTTTTGCAGTGAAAGAGAGTGGAGTGTCGGCTGCAGAGGGCGTGGTGAAAGCCTTGAAACTCGAAAGCTTCGACTTCCGCAAGTTCGAGAATCCGGTTCTCCAGAGGTATGCACCTGCCGAAATGCCGCGCGATGTTCCACATCACTTGCCAACACTATTTTACCACAACATCGGGCAAATCAATTCTCTGCTGTGCCGTCCGTCTGAACACGAGACTCCCCGGAAAAAATGGTAAGGCGTGACGTAGTTTGACATACTTCACCGCTGTAGGGGACACGAATCGTAATTACTGAGTCTCAAAGAACAGAAAGCAAGATCTACTTTAGGTAACGAGAAAGAGGAGACAGACCTCATCGTGGATTGAATGCAGCCGTGGCGAGCCATTGCATCTCGCATGTCACTTTTCTTAGTCACCGAAAGCCTTCGCAATGTTGTGCTTGCGTCATTTGGTCTGTGTTCTGCTGCGTTGCGCTTTTGTTTTTTTTCAGGCATTATGCCGCGCTGCAGGCTCTTGCTCTTTCCGAGGAGGAAATCTCATGGGACCCGGAAAAGGACGACAGAACGCGGTCAGTTACCGATTCTGTTGTTGTTGTTGTTGTTGTTGTTGTTGTTGTTGTTGTTGTTGTTGTTGTTGTTGTTGATGTTGTTGTTGTTGTCTGTTGCTGATGTTGTTGCTGGTGCTTCTGCTAGTGCTGCTGGTGACGATCATTAAAGCCAATTATTCTAGTGGTGAAGAAGATCTTCGGGTTGTTATTTCCTGGCAGCGTTGACGATGGCTGGATGACTACACTGTCATGTCACCAATCATTGGTTGTTTCCCTTCGCGTCCCTTAAAACAGAGCCTTTCGTGTTTGTACCGTTACACCTCGCGCAACCCGTTAGTTGGTGCGAACAACCGTAGATTGACCTACGCCACTTGTGCCTCGGGCTCGATCCACTGTCATCTTTCGGTGGGACCACTAGCCTAGCTTAGCCGTCGTGCGGTCTGCAGATTTGGTGTGATGCGATCCTCTGTCGTCGGAATGCGAGCAGGCCTGACGAGAAGGGATTGGACGCCGCGGGTGGCCCTGTCTTGGAAGAGTTCAAGGTCTCGTACGGAGGGGACCAAGAAGACGACTTGCCCGCTGCTGGTGCCAAGAGATCGGCGGGAGGATCGGTGAGGGGAGTGGGTAGCTGACACGTGAACGGTCTGCAGCAGTATCGGCATTTTTTTTTTTGCTTCATTTTCGCTTCGTCGTGTTGTCCGAAGGCTGGTAACGACTCAAACGAGTTTGTTGTTGTTGTTGTTGTTGTTGTTGTTGTTGTTGTTGTTGTTGTCGTCGTCGTCGTCGTCGTCTTCACGTTAAAAACCGTTCCGATCTCTCTGCCCAGTACCTTCATCTGTCAGTACTTGTCTAATTTAACACTTGACGCGCTCGATTCCCGTGGTCACACGAGAAAGAGTGTGTATTCCTACCTATTGGTGCTGGTTTGGTGTATTGCCTGTTTCGGTTTCGTTTCTTTTGACGGGTCGGGAGGGATGGTGCGGTTGCCAATTCGATCGGAACCATGGGTGTGGTATCGGGTTGTGGATACAGGAATGGACGCAGGAATAACGATGGTCATGTCGGCGTAGTGCTTGCAGAGGCGAACACGGTAGATTTACAGGCAGCGTTGGGTTCATGTAGAGATTACGATGGTTCAAAGCAGGTAGGTACCATATGTCTGATCCTTGCCCCTGCGATGAATTGTTCCTGGACTCATCAGCGCGTTAGGTTAGTCTATTCCACAAGATGCCCTTTACAGCGGTACTTGCTCTACGAAGTCCAAAATGGTGGCGCTAGAAAAGGTGTCTGATGGTACCCTTTGAGAAGCTGCAGCCCGACGTTCAGCCTCAAACGAGAAACCCGATGCACGCACATAAACCTTGTGACGATATGCCCCGTTGATCCCGTGTTCTGTCGTTCTGTTGTGCGCGTTCGTTCTTGTAAGGGGGAGGGCAGTGGTGCGAAGAGGGTCAAGACGGAGGACGACGCGAGCAAGATCAACTGGCAAGAGGAGCTCGCCAAGGGACAGGTGGAGCGTTTCGACCCACTTGTTCAGAGAGGCAATGGAGCACTACTAACTATACCTGCGGAAGTTTTGCCTGCTCGCCTACAGCAGTAGTGTTCCATGTCTACGAAAGCCCCCACAGGCGCTACAATTCAAACCACAACCCCCGCTAGCTTTGGCTTTGTACACCTCTTGACGAAGAATGCAAATGCATAGCAGTTCCTGACATCACGATCACTCATCCGCGTCATCTGACCCTTCTTCCTCGCTGCCCTGCCCTCGCTCGTTGCCATTGAACTTCTACGTAGATCGATCGGTTCACGGTGCCGACTCTCAAGTCGTTCCTCAAGAGTCGAGGGATGTCCGCGACAGGGAAGAAAGGAGATTTGGTTGCCCGCGTCCAGCAGGCTCTACAAATGACAGCATAGGGTGCGGTTGTACACGGCATGCGCTGCTCTACATTAGAGGTCAACGTCCTCTGCAGCCCAGGTTGCTTGCCTCAGCGGTTGCGCTGTGAAATGTGACATGTGCATGGCTGATGCTCGGTGTTCCTGGTTCTCAGTGGCCGGCGGGATGCGTGCTAATTACTTAACCCCTGACCGTGGGGGGTATGGGGGGTAGAATGTACAATAGAGAGAAAGCACGTCGTCCTGATGATGTGGATGACTTATCGCAAATGCAATTCAAGGTCCACGCAATCGAAAGTAATTTTGGATACTCTGTCTCGCGGTCCTTTTCCTGGGCTAGGCTTGTACCAGTTTAGAGGATGCATTCAGAAGCCGGAGATGGCCCAATTGGCCCAACTTCGACGCTTGTAGGTTAAAGGCGATATGGACCCTACCCTGCACAAACTACCATCTGGACCCGTTTCTCTTAGACCAGCCCGAGCGTTCCACCGTCCTGACGGCAGCCGATACACCGGAACTACAGCAGTGTATAGACTAAAGTATTGAACGAAATTTGAGCGAAATCTTGGCCAAGTGCGTTGACCCGATTCGTAGCAATCGCCACCTCGCCATCGCCACCTCTGGCAGCCTGAACGAAGCTGTCTTGAAAATCACTACCGTACGTTCGTTTCGTATTGCTTGATGTCAAAGCTATTGTGTCTTATTGCCCAAGGCGGGCTATTGTACGAGACACACGAGGAGGTTGTAGCTCCAACCGGTATTGGCCGTCCATCTCACATGGCACCTCACTAGCCGGGACAGAGATAGATCAATGAGGAGGATCTGCGACCGAGCTGGACTAACACTTACTGCCTCAATGGTCAACCCATCATGCTCCATTCAAGTACCGTTCTTCGAGCTGCTTCGGCCACAAGCGCACCCGCCCGAAAGGCGGAAATACGACACAACAGACCCACAGGGATTATCATTTCTTGTTGTCATCGCACTACCGGTCGCCCCGGTGGTCTAGTGGGTAGCCTCGCAGCCTGCTAAGGGCCAGGTCATGGGTTCGAGTCCCGGCAGAGAGAGTTTTTTTCTCACTAAATAAATCCTGGTCTAGGATGAAAGCGACGCGCTGCAAAGCTCGTTTGTGAGTGAACCATAGTCTAATCGACTCCGCAAGTCGCGAGGGAAGGGATTGCTGTACCCTTCTCGCGATAAAAATACCTCAGGCATGAACCGCAGGAGGGGGTCCAACCCCCCCCTCCTATGTGACCCCGGTTGGGTCGTCTAGCTAGTAGAAGTGGAGGATAGGGGCCAGAGGGGCAGACGACAGAGTCCAATGATGGGAGAAAAACAAACAAAAAAAAAACAACACCGTTGTTCTGCCCTCTTTGCAGTTTATTCGGTAGTGTAAATGTCAGAGCCAAAGAACCTGTTTGTGCTCTCTGGCGCTCACGAGCTATGCTGTCTACACAAGGCACATCGAGAGTATGCGTGACTCCCACCAACGCGAACGATCCTCGGCTGCTTTGTAGCAACACAAACGGGGATGGCAGGGCAAGAAAAACACCCAAACTCAAGCAGATATACGGAGTAAAACAATTGATATTGATACATGTAAGTCGGAAAGTTACAAGCGGCTAAGAACAAACCAGGTCTGAGGATGTTACTCTCGAGCCATATGGATGGAAGTGCTCATCCCGTTCGTTAGTCCTCGCAGATCAGGCCAACCCCAAACTACACCAAAGAGGAATTAGCAGGACTTGACAACCAAGTCAAGGATCGAATCTAATCGCTCGCCCAATTGACGCAGTAGAGTCGCCTGCATTGCTCTGTGTTCATGCGCCCCGAACATTGTACGGGCGAGCTACTTCTCTCGGGCTTATCGCTGTTCAGGCCAACACTCCCCCTTTACCTAGCTTGTGGGGGCGTTGTTGAAGGGCTCAAGTACCGACGGGAACATGAGAAAAAAAACATTTAATATTATCGCCCAAGCGGGAACTTGAGCCCATCGCTCCAACACCGAAGCCGCAAACAAAAAAAATCAGGAATCACGTTCTTATACCCGTGGGTGTGCCCCAAACAAACACGGTAGCCCCCGAATCAGCTACCGCTTCGGCCCCCCCGCAAACAAACTCAGGTGGTGCTGTCGTCAGGTTTACAGACGACCAGGTCAAACCAACTCGGCACCATGAAGGTGGGAGAGTGGGCTACACGAATTTGTTATGATGAACACGCATCATGCAAAACAGTAGTGTGCCCTGGCCGTCGCGCATGTCTTCACTCCCGTTCAGATTTGCTTCGACCAGCCAGAGACAGCTCTTCCCAATCACAGCAATATGCACCCTGACAAAGAGAGCTCGTTGTTTCAACGGAGACATGAAACAAAACACTGTTGTACATCACGCTTCTTCTGTAGACTTCCTTCTGCCACACAAGGAGGGGTCCACACGCGACTTGAACAGGCACCCCTACATAGACTATTGGACCCCATCCATAAAATCCTAGAGTTTGAACTTTGTGCCAAAAATGCGAAAGCTAGCCTGAATGAAGACAAACAGGTGCTTCGTTACAGCAAGACCTCCCTATTGACTTTGACTTTGATGTCGGATTATCTCCAAGGAAGAACTGCAGTAAGAAACGAGCCCAGAGGCAGATCTTATAATAGGTCGCCAGGGGGCGTGCCTTTGGTCTTACATACACAACATAAAAGTATGAAGGATGTTGCAGGGCGGCATCCCCTCTCGCACAAGAAATGAGCCAGAGAGAGCTTTTTATTCCGGTAGTTATCCCCCGTTCCTCTCCAACATTCCTTACGGTTCAAACACGCAACAAACCAATTCAACCTCTCTCGCCTCGATAAGCATGTTGCTACTGCTTTCTCCGCCCTGATGCCAAAAGAAAGCCTAGCCGAGGAGGGAGGGTGATCGTGACACCGAACTCGGTCGTCTTTGCACTGCATGCATGCCACTACACGACTCATTTCCCACCTATCTAACTCTTGGTACTTTAATGCAAATACATGATCAAACTCCCACCGATTTTAATTCGTGCTAAATCGTGCCCTCATGTGCTGCTTTAAAAGATCAATCACGATCATTTTGTATATTCCGAAGAGTTTTAATGTTTGCCTACACCACATTACCATCGCCGTTGTTCATATCTTATTCGCACCGATCGAAATAAAAACATATGGTACCCGCAGAAGCTACGAAAAAAAAACAAAACTTGTGCACGCAGATTCGAATAGAGAATAATTGACATTTATTTAGGAACTGTGCAATACTCGACCGCACGGAAAAACGTGCAAAAAACGCTACTTGTACCATGCTGAAGCGGTCGGGTCCTTTCCTTGTCTTGGCAGTCTGAGATAGACAACGACACTCATTTCCGAACAACCAACGAATCTGTTTCGCCCAACATCATGCGGTTCGCACAGGCTCCTCCGGACTGGTTGGGGTAGACCCCTGCGTTGTACAACATCACTGTCTACTACTCAGCACGTGTGGCAGGCACATGCAACAGGCGATATCGCACTGCAAAGTGATATACGTAAAACGAGCAATGCATGCATACGGAGTGTCCATCAGATGACATGTACAACTAGCCAGTCGCTTCGCGAGCACGACATGGCCGACGCATCCGACACTTCTCAAGGGTGAGGAACGAAAAGATACATGTTCGTCTAAAAACGCAGTGATTCTGTCCCTTGCTAGGTTACTAAAAACATCGAAAATCGATTCCCACGTCAAACAGTTGCCCGTTCCCTCCCGGTCTTGTACGACACCGCCATTCAACCCTGAGAAACGACAACACAAAACGTGTCACCAGGTATTTGAAAAGTGACATTTTCGGCCTCCTCACGCCGCAACTGGTTATTGGCGAAACCCACTCAACCACCCAATGCAACCGCACCCTCCTTTCAGAAAGGCATTTCTTTACTCCGTGGAATCACTGAGGGCCGCCCGGTAGCCGCAAACCCATGCAGCAGCGTTCTTCAAAGGCGGACTCCCCCCGGGGCAGCACACCCTCACGCCAGCAGTCTCGCTCGAGCCGCCCAGCGAGTTACATGGCCGTGTCCGTTCTCTCGAGCGAAAGTCACGGCGTCCTTGTCCCAGCAGCAGCCGTTAGCCCGGGCCCAGCTGAGCACGTCCAGGTGCCCTCCTTCTGCCGCCATTGAGCACGTGTTGGAGTTCCACGCACAACCCGCTTCTCTAAGCCACTGGAGAGCGCGAAGATGCCCTCCCCTGCAAGCATCAAGTTTTCACGTGAAATCAGCTCAATGGACAATTTAACGATTGCACGGTCCGGAGAGATTTTTCGCTTCTGCGTTCATTCCTCAACAATTACCACTTTCTTGCGGGGGAGACTTTACATAAGGAGTCTCGGCAGGTGTTACGTGTCGGATAGAAATGCTCATGACATCACTTTTCTACCATATGTATCACCGGATATGGTACATCATCGACTCTTGGCAGAACAGCTTTCCCCTGTTGGCGGATGTACTCTTCAATTCTAAAGACACTACACATGTTCGGCGCTGACGATCTATTAAGAGCTTAATCTGCAACAGCTGCATCATCTGTCTGCGTAGCGTGAGGTACAGGGATCAGCTGAGCTAGCGCCACCGTGGAGGTCTGATTATCTGGGGTTCTCGTTCCACATTCATGCGCTCAGGTAAAGATTTCCACTGCCCGGAGGGATATCTTCCAACAGCTTGAATAGCTACGCATGAGCAACACATGGCCGAGGTAGACTGTCATGATATTGCACACACTGACCAGGGACACGGTTGATCGACAACTCAACCGAATAAAAAACTGGAAAAGCATGGGTCGCGAGAGCTAGCTAAAGACCGGTGTGATTTTTGTGTTACGGGACGCGATGCTGCTCGTGTTTGAAGAGGAATATGATTCCGACACCTGAGTGATGTCTCCCTTTGAACAGGATTGTTCTAAGTCTTTTCTTTGTAAAGTACAACTATTGATACTCCCGTCGAGGCCAACAGCGAAAACTACAGTATTGATAACGGACCTTGCAGCCCCGGCGCAGGTGCTTGGACCCATTTCGCAGCCGTTGTCCCGAAGCCATTGAAGAACGTGGACGTGACCTCCCACGGCAGCCTCGACGGACGTGCACACGTCCCATGCCGCTCCGTTTGATCTTGCCCACGTGACGACCGCTAAATGTCCCTGTCGGGCGGCAGCCATGCAGGTGTCTCGCCCCCAACGGCACCCGTTCTGCCGGGCCCAAACGAGGACATGGAGGTGTCCCGCCTTTGCCGCAACGTAGCACGTGTTCTCGTTCCACGGGCACCCCATAGCCCTTGCCCTCTGCAGGAGATCCAGCCTGCCGAGCCCCGCGACGGTTTCGCATACCGCGGCTGTCCGCCTCAGGCCACACTCGAAGCTGAGGGAGAGCTGCGGCACCGACGTGTCGGCCGTCAGGGCCTTTGTAACCGTCGGACGCTTGCCCCAGACATCCCTCCATCCTCGGGAAACCGAGGCAAAGAAGAGATGCTGATTGTCGTCCACGAACTCCGCGAGGTAGGACAGGAGATAGACGTTAGCCGTCACCAGGTCTTCCACGTGAACCATGACTGATTTGCCTGCTGGCAGGCTAAATTGCTCATACATACGGTGACAGGGCGAGCGGGGGGGGTAGCGAAGCAGACGTGAGGGGGTCAACCGGGAAGGTTGGAGGGACAAGAAAACAACACAGACGTTTACTTACCACCAGAAGGCATTGGTGTGCTGTCTTCTGCAACCAGGATTTAGGGTTAGGAGTTTGCGGCAGCGATGATGTGTCTGTCTACTGCGGTCTGATGGCGGGCCGTAGGTTGTTTCTCAGAACGAGGGGTGAAGGAATCGTGCCGCCCACAGAACGTTGATGACGTATTCCAACACCCAACCACCAGTGCCACCTCTACTTCAACTTCTGCTACTGCTGTATGGGGCTTCAGCCCCACCCGTCAGGTCCGTCGGCAGCACGCCCGACTTCTCGCCTACCGTATATCCACACACGGGAACAGGGCTGTCCACTACGTGGAGAAAACGTTACCGTTGCGCTGGAGCCTTGCTGTTGCTGTTGCGAACCACCTTACTTCGGTGGGAGCGCCGAGACATGGTACCGCGTATGGTGTGAGGGCGATTAGTTCGAATAGAGGTCTGTGTCTCATCATGTATCGCGGCAAGAAGACTCCACCCCCTTCGACTCTTGAACCCTATGGTTTTCCCGCAGCTGCCTGCCCCTGACAGAGGGTTCAGAGATGCTTCGCGTCGGTGGTGGTCTGCGGAGCAAGTACATAGCAGCCGACTTAAAACATTTGTTGGTGGTGTTGGGGAATGATTGATGCCGGTCGGATTGCCGCCTGTGCCTGGCGAGTGGGGCTGAGGCGCTTGACTAGAAGATGATTTTTTGGCCTCCGCCCGACGTCAGGCCCTGCGCTCGCACTGAAAAATAAGTGTACCCTTGCCTTGTGCCAACATCACCGGGGTGTACCCCATTCTGACTATTTAGTCTAATCCACCAAATAGCACCATTGAGCCGTTAAATTTATCCTCTCAATCGACCGAGTCAGTACCCAACGGCTCGTGCAGACACGAATGAATTACTTGGTATCATCCACCTTGCTGGTGGTGGTGAGCCTTCTACTATAGAATAGTTGTGAGATACAAATCCAGTTCGAGACGCGCCGAGATTCGAACCGACGTCCGGAACATTAGAGGGTTGCGAGGCTATCTGTCAACTACAATGCTCAGTCAGCCACTGGTTTCTGCCAGTGAGTCTTGCAGTTTCTATTTGCCTGTGTTGGAACAGGCAGTCCATGCCTCTTCTCTCACGTGTTTTCAGGTTGTGGGTCCGCCCAACGACCTTCGTTTACTGCTGTAGTTTGGACGCGACGAGAATAGTCGCGTCTGTCTCCGATGATTGATGGATTGCGGCTATATCAGCTACTGGCTGTGGCTCTACATGAATGAGCAGTACACAACAAACAGACATCAAGTTGTCGACGTAGGCTACATAGTAATCCGCCCAGCCCAGACATGCCGAGACAGGCCAGGCCTCAAACAAGACAAAGGCCGTCAGTCCTCGCTGTGATGCTCCTCCGGAAGCGAGCCCAAGGTCTCGGTGAGGGGTATCGGAACGACGCAGAAAAATTGCATCTTTATAGATCAGATGCCATGTGCCAAACGAGTCTTCATGTGTGGATAGGTCGGTTTCCGGCTGAAAAAAAAAACGTCCACCCTGTCCGTCTCCGTTTGCTGGACAACCTGTTGCTCAATGAAAACAAACACCCGTAGTGTCTGCAAGGACATAATCACTCGACTTTGCACCACTTCCTCGGCATCGCTGGTGGAAAACGCCAAACCACAAGAGGTTGCATGATTGTATCAAGGAGGATAGTGATGACGCTGCAAGGACCCTTTTGGAGATTCAATTTTTCCCGAAAGTCGTGAAAGTGTTCGTGCGTAGCATCTAGCATCTCCACGACAACAAGTGGAACCTACATATCATATGCTGCATGCACGCCGTACTCTACATTTGCATGGAACTCTGGTTCATGTGTCCTTGATGACACTACAGTAGTACGTGCATTGACGCATCATGCGAGGTGAGCATGTGCTGATGATGCTGCTACGATGGACAAGGGACGACAACGATCATGTTCAATGTTGACAATGCCCAGACCAGCCTCGGCCTCGCGTCTACGTAGTGTAACAGGCTATTTTTATAGTCTTTCTGCTGACTACATCCAGAGGACCTATATAATTGCCGACCAACACCCCAATGACCCGAAGATTCTTCACGTAACAATCCTAGTATTATAATAATAGGTCGTCGATAGTACTGACCGCGTAGCGACACAAGCAGTGCACGTACCGAATTCTTTCCGATGATGAGCCGGATGGTTTCCGGGCTCCGGGAGCGACACACACACATAACTTGAGCTGCTGTGTAAGCAAAGAGTGCAGGTCAAACCTAGTCCGCTCTGCTACGGCTGTGCTGCTTACAGCAGTCCGCCGCTAACGCCAAACAGCATGCCGCGATTCTGTGCAACTGCTGATTACAATTAGTCTATACTCAGGCAGTAGGGCTACAGAGTGGATGCTGCCGTGCCTGCCGTGCGTGCAAAAACTACCTCAAGCCTCTAGTAGTGGTGGCTGCGCAGCCATGCACGTACTACCGTGCACGCGTAGTCTGCCTCGTATACCCCCCGCGCACGGTAAAAGCGCGTCAGACGGGTACAGAAGCTCACCGTTCATCGGGAGACATGAATCTTAGCTGCCAGGGTCCTTGAACGCGAACGTACTATGCTGGTTGCCTGCGGTTGCTCAAGCTCAAGCGTTCTCCGAGAGCACGCCGCTGCCTATTCGCCCGAGAGAACGAAAAGTGGTTGCACTCGCTGTGGTTGACCTTGCAGAAAAGCTAGGAGGGAGGGGGAGGACGGGAGAGTAATGGAGAGCGAGAGAACGACAGGAGGATGGATGCTGGAAATGATGAAATTACTGCGGCGGGATAACATCAGGGCTGCCCGATGATACTGCCTGTCTCTCATTATCATTTATTTCCCGTTGACACATGCCCCCCCCGAGGGCGAGATCGATGTCAGATAGATCTTAGATTGAGTTTAGAAAGCGCATGGGTACAGCCGTGAGTAGCACAAAGAGAGCCACGGAGAACTACCAAACCTGTTGTGTTGCACACGGCCGCTCGCGTTCAAGAAGAATCATCCATTGGTAGCCTCGGTGGTCTAGTTGGTATCCTCGAAACCTTCTCCTATAGGTCAGGTCAGGGGTTCGAATCCCGGCGGAAGCGAGCTTTTCTTGCAAAGTGAGTTTTTCTCTCGCTTCCGCTCCTGGCCTAGTGGATAGCGCTAGTTCGTGTGTACACAGAGGGAAGAGAGTGCTGAACTCTTCTCGCGTTAAAAATCGAAGGCAAAGTACCGCAGGAGGGGAGGGTAGAGAGGGGCTTCTCTGTGTGACCACGGCACCCAGTGCTGTGAGCGCTGATTTGAAGTGAGGCTGAAAAATAAAATCCATCGAGGAAAAAAAATAATGCACCGCACTTGCACACCTTGCACTCCATCACCCGAGGATAGAAGAAGCACGGAAACAAAAGGAACCTCGCGGGACATGTCGCTACATAACGCTGCTGGTGGAAAATACCGTGGAAAACACCGATAGTGTCCGCTAATAACGCTTTGAGTTCATCGCGAATCTACCACGCACTACAACCGCAGTCCATGATGAATTTTCGTCTGTATGTTTGAATGAAGAAAACACACTACACAAGAAAATATTAAATATTGGGTGTGGTATGCATACATACCCCTGTGCAGCAGTAAGTGGAGGAAGAATTCCTATCTGAGGGCCCCCCAAAGAGCCGGGGGCCTGGTGGCGTGGGTAGAGCTATCGACGGAGCAAGGTGAAGAACGAGAGAGAGAGAGAGACAGAAAGAGAGGGAGCGCAAAGTGACATCTCGCCTTTCCCACGTAACCCTAGTTCGGGGCAAGACTTATTGCCATGCCTCGGTACTCTCGATCGCGGAGCCGATCGCCGGCACGCCGTTCCCGCCGGTATTCCAGATCCCCGGAGTCGCCTCCATCCGACTGCGGTGAGAGAGAGAGCGTCAGAGAGAGGACGTACAGCAGGTCTATGCGTAACAGTCGAGTGCGTCTTGTTCCAGCAAGACATAGCATAGCAGCACCTAGTGTCCTGAAGGGTAGAGGCTGTTTGTGATCGGGCCAATCAGTGCACCCCTGACACTTTTGTGACAGATGCCCCCACCCAGATCACTGTTTTTTCTGCTGTGTACCAGCCTACTCTCTTCCGAACAGCAGCGTTCGTTGTGGTCAGAGATGCGGTGCTTCATCATACCCGTCTCGTCCACTCGTGTGACGTGGATAGAGGCAGGTCGTCTACGCTTGACACGGGTTTTCACGCCAGTGTGGAAGATAATCTCGAGTCTGCGGGCACAGCGCTTACGTTTTTGTTCACCTTCTCAACTCTGAGCATCGGTCACAACATCACAACCGTCATCATACTTGCCCCTCTGACTTGCACCTGTACAAAGAAACGAGCAACAAGCAACAACCAGCAAAGGGAGGGAGAAGAATATCGCGACACGGCGTTATGCGCGTTTGGCAGACGGGTAGCTGGTGTCCGTGGTGTCGTCCCTGTTTTGCAGCCTACAATTAGTTGAGCAGGACCAACACGCCAACCACTGCTTGTGCCGTATGCATACAGCAGTAGTACCAAGTCTCACCAAGAGAATTCGGTTGCTTTTGTGGGCAGCAGGCTCGAGACTTGTGCGCTGCTCTACCGATCTCCATGTACGTGCTCGTTCGCTTCTGCGGCCTCACTAATGTTATAGTCGTTGCCGCTAGTGCTTCCACCTGTTTCATCGCGATGCACATTCCCCTGTTGTAACGGTTGATTCTGCCGTATCCTCACCACCCTCTCCGATGACCTCACCGTCATCTCACCCCGCCGCGTGTTCTCTCCTTGAACGATTGAGTGAATCAACAGCCAACATTTTCTGCGGCAACATGAACCCCACCTCCAACAAGCACGACCTGGAGCACATCTTCAAACGCTACGGGAAGATCGTCGACATCTGGGTAGGTTACTAGACTTTAGTGTATTTTGCAACATAGGGTAAGCCCACAAGGCTAATCAAAACATCTCAAGTTATTGTGCTCAAAGAAACACCCAGGCCGTACTGTGTCTCTCCAATTTTTACAGGAGTATCGTACCATCATAGACCCTTCCGTTGAGCGGGAGGGAAGGCCTCAACAGTACCTTAACGCTAAATCGTCTGTTCCGAGTCCTTCGTCAGATGCAATGTGCATCGAGACGTCCGTAGGATTTGAAGCGGTGATGAGGCTGCCGGTTTGGGTGGTTCGGGATGTCCTTCCACGTTCTCAAGAGCTTGGATTCACAGGCTGGATTTCCAAATATGTTGAGACGCCGCAAGCTTTTGACTTTGTGACGTCTCTGGCACAGCAGCGATGAATAGCGTTTGGGACAGCCTTTGGGATAGATGAGGTACTGCTGTAGGTAACTTTGCCTTGAAAACAGCTGCTGTCTGTCGCCTGCCCTTCGCCATCGTGCACCGTGTATTCTTAACTACAGTGCCTCACTGCTGCACGATCAGTTTAGGGTTAGCACGTGTCGACCTCCTTGCACTCCTAGTTCTTCTCAAGAGGGTGAAGGGACGAGCACAAATGGATTCGTCCGTCCGTTCGTTCACACTGGGGGGAGGGAGGGACAAGGAGCAGTTCTGCCCACTTGGCTTGACCACGAACTCGAGTAGTACCACCCGTCATCGATCGTGCCCAGCGGCCGGGGACCGCACCGCGCCGTTCCCTCGATCGTGGCCACTGTCCGTCCGTTACCTTGGACCTCCGAGCTGTTCTGTACGACGGGTTGTTCATCGAACTACCGTCGGCCTCGGGATCGTTCTCGAGTCCATTCTCAGGATCGTTCTCGGGATCGTTCTCGGGATCTTTCTCGGGACTGTTCTCTGGGACGCTCTTGGGATCGCTCTTGGGATTGTTCTCGGGATCGTTGTTTTTTGCGAATCAATGCGGTCGACCCCAGTTGTCCTTCCAGCTTCAGCGGGTTCGTTCTTCAGAGTACAGCAGCTGTGCGTCGTCGTGGTTGTTCTACAGCCCGTCCGCGGGATTTGTTCAGTTGATTATCCGTGGATCGTTCTACAGCACGTTCTTCTTCGGATCGTTCTCCAACGCGTTCTTGGGACGCGTTCTTCCACTACCACCGTACGACCGATCCTTGCGTTCTCCGAGCTGTTCGGCGGGTCGCACTCCGAAGTACCGTGAGATGAACGGGGATTCAAGTGGTGAACGTATTCTAGATATTCGCACTATTTCCCATCCCCCACTTCCCACCCAACAACCTGCCCACTATCATTGAAACAATGGCACTTTTTTTTATCTTGCAGTGAGCCCTTTGGTATGCTTCTACTACCAAGTACATCGAGGCATTTTTATACATTCAACAGGCCGCAAGACTAACGTAGACAGAGGCCTGTGTCCAAAGTTGGCAGGAGTCCCGCACCCATCGCTGCTCAACACGCACCCATCGGCACTGTGCATATCGGTGGGAAGGAGAGACGCATGTCATCTTGTCCCTCAAGAGCGATCGCACGAATTGTCCTCATAAGTGCCTGCCGTTGACCTGTAACTGCTGTCGTTTCGTTTCGTGTACTGCTGCCTCCCAGGTGGCCAGGAAACCCCCCGGTTTCGGCTTCGTGTACATGGACGACCCGCTTGACGCCAGGTGAACGAACTTGTACAATCCACCAAGCGCTGGGGTTGGTGAGCAATATGTATCTAGACAGGGAGAAAACGGCCCTCACGCTCTGGTTGCTGACGGACAAAGCGGTGAATCAGTTCTCCAGCCAAAGTGCTTCAACACTGGCTATTCACCGGTTCGTGGGTGTAACCCTTTCGTGGACAGGTTGTACTTGATGTTTCAGAAGGATGTGCGGTTCTTTGGTTCGTTGTGAGGAGCACCCCCCGGCAAGCGTTCTGGATCCATTACTTACGACAACAGGGCTCATGTGTTCAAAGCAGGCATTAACGTGTGGCCTTGTCGGTTGACATCATGTCCTCGCGGTTTGCACATTTTTCACGCTGACGCCCTTGCTTCCACACCTTTCCGTAAGCCCCCCCGCCCCCCTGAACCCAGGGATGCCGTCAAGGGGCTGCACGGCACGACTCTTCACGGCAGCGTGCTCCGCATCGAGATCTCGGCCAACAACAAGAACAAGCTTGGCCCCCGCGGGGGTTACAGGGAGAGGAAGGAGCTCGCCTACGATGGAAGGGCCTCTACCAGGTGCGTGTATGCATAGGGATGCGCAAGGAGCTGGTGCTGGTGCGGTGTTGTGCTCAGGAAACGGAGTTCTGCTCGTAGATTGCGAGGGCGAGACGTTTTGCCATGAGTGGGTGCTGCGGTACAATGCGGTACAATGGGGTGACTGTAGTACAACCCGGTGCGGTAGTATATAATCCGATTGGGTGCCTGCAGTGGTCGATGTTGGGGGTACAGCAGTAGGGGCATCTTGGCGGTGTCATGCGGTTACAACAGTGTTGGTGTCATGCCGTGGTATACCGTAACACGTGAGACAATGTCGTGACGTATCGTCCATATTCATCCGTGCTCGCATGCCCTTGCAATACGCATGTCTTTTCCCTATACGACTGAGCTGACTGCAGCTGCCCCCCCTTCGCTTCGTTTGCGGTCGCGACTTTCTGTCCTGAATTGCACGGATGCAACCATCGACCCATGTCGGGTAACCGGGCGCATGATTGATTCGACAGGGACAGGGACAGGTACCGCTCTCGCTCTCGCTCCCGCTCCTTGAGCCGAGACCGTGGCAGGGGGCGACGCGATAGGGACCGCGACTACGGGTACAGCGGGAGGGGGGGG